TTATGGAATGATCCATATTTATTCACAAATAATATATTGACACGTGTCATGCAGCAGATACACACTGGACACGTGTCAATACATAAAGTTATAGAGATGACTCTATAGCTTTCTGATAGAGATAATCGGTTTTGCTATAGAGCCATCGGATGATTCGACTTATGGAGCCATCCATAGTTATCCACAAATATTGTATTGAAACGTGTCATGCAATAAAATTCATGTAGTGGTAATCTACTGTAATTATTTTTAAATAGATATAATGTCTTGTAATAATTAATATGAAAAATAAAACAAACAAACCAACAGAAAGATGGACTACCGCAATTTTGGGATATTGGGACCCTAAACTAGTAATAGAATTATAGAAATCATTTAATATTTGTTTCCGTGTTGAAATTTTGGTTATAATATGTTACCTAAAGTTGTTGAACGTTTAAAAGTTTTGTTATTAAAAGATGGCTACAAAAATTATTTCTTTATTAGTAATTAATTCACCGTAATCTTGATTTAATAAGAAACTTAATAAAAGATTAATACGTCATGCAAATATTTACTTAAAGAGGCAAAACTTGACACATCGGAATATGATGGTCGTCCGTGTGATATGCAAATTGTCTTGAACCTGTTGGACCGCGAACCATAGACCTTTATCAGCCCAAAGCTCCGACGACCTACAATTTGCGGAAGGGGGTCTCGATGAAAAGTCCCCAACGTTTAAGGCACTATATGTCCGTGATAAAATTGAGATTATGTATATAAGTTATGTGTGTTGTATAAAGAGAAGAACCTGAATACCCTTGTATATCTAGGGTAACTTGGTGACTAATAGTGTTAAAGTTAAAAACATATCTTCTCGTATCTATTTTTCTAACTAATACGATGTCTTGAATCTAAGAATATTTAACCACATAGTTGAGTTGTTAAATTAAACGAGCCGCTCGTGAGCTCATTTAAAGCTTGTTCAGTTAACGAGACGAACTTGACTCGATAAGCCTAGAAAAGATAATTTTATGTATTTTTCCATTGATCAGCTCAGTTTTCGCTCATTAATGTTCGAGCTCAACTTGTTAATATATTGATAAACGAGCAGAGTTCGAGCTCGATTGTAAGATCGTTAAGGGCTCGAGCTCGGCTCGACTCTTCTACACCCCTACAATATATACTTCCCATCCACGAACCCAACCTCTGCACCTACCTGCAACCAATCTTATCCATGGCGTAACTACGATCAACCCCACCGAACGACTGGTCATGAGGTCTCTCTTGCAGCCTAGCTCCTTCGGTCTCCCCATCTTCGAGCTACCTGGATCTCTCCGATATCCGAGCTTCCTTAGTCTACCGACCTGGATCATCAATTTAATCATCAACTTTTCTGTCATATTTACGTGTTCACAATCAATTATCCTAATTTATTGTTATAACGTGTAATTTCCACATGTGAAGCCCATCAAAATTTAGAAATGATAATAAGTCAAGCGAGTCATACTAATAATGGCTAGCGTAGAACTTCTTGAATTCTTGGAGAAAAAATCAAGGATAATTGGATAAATTCGAGTCTTCTCTCCCGTACTCGTTGACCACAAGATCTACACGATGGTTACATGATAATGGTTACACATTCCAACGGAATGGTTCTATAACGGGACTGTAGTATTTCTCTCTAATAATATAAATGTATAAGTACACAAAAATTTACAGTTTGAAAAAATGGAGCATGCTCCAAGGAATACAGAATGGGGGTAGCATTTAAAGTTACTAATATTCTATAACTTTTAATTAAAATTGTAAATGAGTCAAAACGAGGTGAGCTTGAGTTCGACTCATCAAAAAGCCTCAATGAGCGCATAATTATACTAAAAATTCATAAAATTACATTTTAAAAATGCTTACTTTTCAAGCTTAACGAGCCTTCGCGAAAAAGATTATTTTATTGATTGAGTATGTAAATAATACCTTTAATTAGCATGGCTCTATAATAAAAATTTGGAAAACAAAAACTTAAATAAAATTATTTTATTTCCTACCCATTAAAATGATTGGCTTATTCCTACATGGCACCGTGGTAATGCTGTTTTATTCGTTCTTTTAAGTCTTATGTCGTTTAGTGCACATCAACATGACGCTACGTTGATGTCATTCTGTCAATTTTATTATTTTTAATCAACACAAATAAATATGTCTGAAAATATTCAAAATTTGACATTTTATAAGCATGATTTTTAGTTTCTTAAATTCATGAAAAATGACAATTAAATTTTATTTTGGGATCAATATTATAGGACAAGAAAGTATATAGAAACTAAATAATAAGAGAGCATTTTCATTTTTCCATTCTTAGTCATAATTTAGAAAATATCCAAAATTTATTCTCATTTGGTTGTGTAGATAGCAATTATATGATTTTTCACACAAACACCTAAATGAATCAAAATAAATAAGATGTGATAATAAATTTATTTACTTTGAAATCTATATTAACATTTATTATATTCTTTAAATCAGATCGATCATGGACGGATAAAATTATAAATTCCTCAATTAATTGAGGGAATCAATGGTTAAACCAGTCGAATCAGGGTTTAATATATTTAATATTTTCAAATATTATAGAATAATTTAAGTAAGATGAGAGGGTTAAAATTGTAATTAGACTGCTAGAACAGGTACACGTTTTGTGGGACAAAAATCATATGCTGCTCAATTTAGGGTCAAAAGGGTCAAATAAATAATGATAGTTTTTGTTTACCAAAACATTTACTCAAAGATAAAAGTGTCACGATCAAGGCTCTGACTACAGAGAGTAGAGACCCAACAAGAGGCCCATTATGTCTGACCCACGCTGCGCGTGCTCCAAATGGGCCCGGCCCTTTTAGCAACCAGTTTCCAAACGACCCGGGTCTTGCTAAGCATCAACCCGGTTTTCCACCAACCTACCACCATACCATGGTAACGTAGAATTATTTTTCTATTAATGATAGTAATAAAAGATAAAATTAGAAAAAAATATTCAAATCATTTTATTTTGTGAGAAATTTGTTACTTTTTGTTTACCCTAATATTCAAAATATTCACAAACATTTACAATCCAACTAATAAATCCATTAACTGAATTTGAATTGAACAATCAGAAAGTCCTTATTTTATTCTATGCATAAATTAGAGGTGTAAGCCGAGTACACACTTTGAACTCATTAACAAATTGAGCTGATAAACTAGCTCGAATTCAGTTCATTTAGCAATATTTACTAGCTGAGCTGTTGAAATTTACATATAGTCCCTAATTCGGTGCCCTAACAAGCTCGACTTAGCTAATAACTAAACGAGTTCAAACTTTAATGAATTAAATCGAGCTCATGAGTAACTCATTTCGTTTAATAACTCTAGTGAGGCACACAAAGACACACACACATACATACACACATCATCTCATGAAAAATTGAAAATTTATAAATTGAACTTTGCCTAATAACTTTCCATGAAATATTATTTGAACATGTAAAATATTTTTATCTTAAGTCAACCTGCCAAAATTATCATGCTATTTTACCTCTAAAGTTTTGCCAAAGTCACCATTGAAAAATATATATAAGCCATCAATTTATAACTTTTGAAGTGAATTAGTAGTAGTTGATTAAGATAATTAATTGAATCAACTTACTTATAATGATAATTATATTTATGTAATCAAAATTGCGTGTACATGCATGCATATATGCTAAAATGGTGCAAGGAAAAAAGATCATCTCCAATTGGTCATCAAACAAATACCATGAGTTTTTACTATTATCACATTTTCTATATTGACTCTGGGAAAATTATTTTCAACTTGGGAATCGTATTTGTGTTTGGTCGATCCATTATAATTCTTTTTTAGTGAAAATATATACTTGTGAGTCCTTCATATAGGTCCAAGCCAGATTGGACCGGATATGTTATGAGTATGTCATTGCACGGTTCCACGTAGACCCAAGTCTAACTGGGCTGGATGAACCGACTATGATACCATCACGCAGATGAAGCGCACCAAGACAAAGAAAGCCAAATGAAACCCAAGTGGGGTTCCATCCTAAAACCAATTGGTGGAAGGAAGAGTAGCTTACTGGACTTATAAATTAGGCATTATTTTTCTATATTAACGATGTGGGACAACTCACAATTGAATATTCTAACAAGCCTCCTCCTTTGTGAGTCCTTCATAAAAAGCTTAAGTCCATGTACGGAGTCGGGAGCCCAAGCGCAACTGAACCTGGAAAAACGAGTACATTGTCGCACATTCCTAATAAAATCGACTTTGATACATGATGAAACGGAGTTATCGAGTGCAGTCCCACGAACGTGAAAGTGAACCTAAATTGACCTTGTGGACTTCCATCCTAAAATTAGACAAACAAATCGAACATATGAAGAATTCTACCGATAAATCCCATTTTTTTTTTCCAAATATAACTAAAAGATAAGAAAAGGGGGTGTCTATATGTACACCCCTCAAGTGTAAAAAAGGGGTGTACATATATCACTTTTCTTTGTGTAATTTATTAAAAGGGGGTGTACATATAGCATTGCCCTAAGAAAATTCTCAGTCGCCGCCCATGGCCCACCTGCACTGGATTACGAATTGAAATCTCACGAATTTACACATTTAATTCCTTAAATATGCACTCAAGTTGATGTGACATGTAAATTTATATTATTATATAACAATATGCTTTTCTTTATAATAATTTTTATACGCGTCATCCAAAAAATAAAATAATATGAAATCTATCTAAGTCATGACTAATAAAATTTATAATATTAGTCAAAATATCTTGCCATTGTCAACCAGATACTGACGATTGCCCTTTTCTTTTTTCAACATTTTCACATATTAATTTTCCACATACATTTACATATTATAAATTTATTCTTTATATACTCGAACAACATCACACATGGAGCTTAATTTGCTTGACTACAAAATTCTCAAGAATCTTGATCAATTAACTATATAATTATCCATGGAGGAGCAAGTTCAAGGAGGGGTTTGTGGTGGCAATTTTACGGAACTCATCCGTTCATCGTCGATCAAAGGCCCCGGGCGCTTCGGGTGGCCGAACCATTATCGAGCCACTTGTGACTCGGCCGGTTCAGTAATACACGAACCGTCACCCGAAAACGTCGCGATTGTCTCGACCCTACAAATGATGGGAATCAACCTTTCACCTTCCACTAGTGTTGATGATGATAATTGGAACCAAGATTTGATGTAAGTGATCAGTATCTCATTATCTATCTTTGCAGAATTTATACATACTTCAAATCCAAGTGTCATATTCTTAGACACAACATAAACAAAAGTATGATATTTTATAGTATAAGTATTCATTTTCGTTAGAAATATATAACGAGTCGACCAATCTAGTGGTTAGACCGTCACGCATGAAATAATCTGGATGAAAAAGTATAACCGTACGTCTAATCGTCAAGTATGCAAAACTCATTCTTCTCTTCCTTTCATATTCTTGTAGACATGAAAGCCAAAAATCACAAGAAAATTATTCTCACAGTTTACAAGTTTCAATATCTGCTCCTCTTGACCTAGTCGACCCAGGCATGAACAACGACGAGCAAAACCCGGATTTTCAATATAACCCAAATTCGTTCGACTATAGTTTACCCTTGTTGCAAACCTTGTTAGATGTGGGTCCCATTCGACAATCTACACCAAACAATCACCAGTCCATAAATTACAGACCGTCGCAAAATTATGTGAGCCGGACCGAATTTTGCCCTACTTTACCCAATAATGTTCAAGAAACGCGACATGCTAATGACCGTTTTGAGTTCACGAATAATTACGCGCCCTTTTGGAATGAATCGGCTTCGAGTTTTGCCGCCTCGAGCCAGGCTCGTTTAATTCATCGTCCATCGTCTCTTCATAACTCAAACCCTAATTTTGATCACATTCTTGATTCCAAGGTACGTTTTTTCTTTTTTTTTTTACTAATTATAATTAGTACTTGTATTTATTTTTAATGGGTTGTATATTATATGTGTTGTTTTTTTTAATGTACATATCACCCTTTATAATTGGTGTAAAAATGTAATTCTGCAATAATACACACTTTAAAAATATAAAATTAAAGTTCTAAAGTTGAAGTCATCTATAGTCAAGGCCGCCCATGCATATTTTATATATTTCCCTTTTGGTTTTTACTAATCATTAAATTGGTACTTTTAATATGTGTAAATAAATAAATAAATTATTTGTTGAATCGTTTTTTTTTTCTCTCTAAATTATAAGATTAAAATTCAATGGTGTTTCTTCATAAATAAAACAATAATTAAATAAAAAATAAGAGTAGCATCATATATGTATATACATATATATATATATATTTGTATTTCACATTATTAATTAATACATGAAGATTTTTTTTTTTTTTTCAATATTTTTTTTTTCAGCAACATAATTATCAAGAAGCCGGCCGAGGACCAAAGAAAGCCAGCCACAAGCCGGCAGCCAAGCGGCCGCCAGCCGAAAGTCCATCACCATTATCGGCCTTTAAGGTAAATTAACTTTAAGAAATAAATAGTACTCTTTTTACAAATGCGCATACTTAATTTCCTTAAAAAATGTCATAATTTAGAAAATAGAATATACAAAAGTGCGACAATTAATAATATAAATCTCCCTTTATATTAATTCAAAAACGTGTTAAGTGATAAGCTCGCATGTTTCGGGATCTTATGTGACAAAATGACATTGTTCATTATTAGGCTTGGGTATAATTGACTTCCAATCCAAAAATAATTAGGTCCGGATTATTCATAAATATGTTAATAATTTCATTTTAATATCATTTTCTCATTATAATCATTGAATTGTAATGTATTTTAAAAGTTAATAACTTTTGTTTTTTTTATCAGTTTTACATATATAATATATCAAATTAATCATCTCTTGATGAGCTTCGATTTAACATCCATATTGTATGTATAAAAAAATATATTTATCTTTATAACAATAATAATTTTTTAATATCAATTAGAAAAATAAAATTATTTATCAAATAATATATTTATATTTCAAGTAGTTATATGATATAAGATAAAAATTACTATAACATAACACATGTAAATCGCACAAGGAAAAAAAAAAAACGTTCTAAAATATATAATAATATATATTTTTTTGCAAAAAAAAAATAAATAAATAAATTTAATATAATTTTTCTCATCAATTTTAAAAATTAAGAATAATTTTTCAACGAGCACCGTGTAATACACATGTGTTGTACTAATATATATATTATTGTTAAAATAATAGAATTGGTTGACCTACTTAGCCGGGTCTCATATAAAAATTTTATGTTAAATTATAGGAGAATGTTACCATCCCGTTACGGAATGGTTCCGTTGTGTTTTATAGCCGTAGATATACATGTAATCCAGTGATGAGTAGTTAATTCAACGTTTAAAAATACAACGGAACCATCCCGTAACGGGATGGTAGCATTCTCCTAAATTATAATGCCTTGATGAATTCTTAACAGGTTCGAAAAGAGAAGCTTGGGGACCGAATAACGGCCCTTCAGCAGCTAGTTTCACCTTTTGGAAAGGTAATATATATAAGTAAAATTTCGGATTTATTTTTATTTTTATTTTTTTCAAATATATTTTAATCAGTTGAAAAAAACTATGGCTGTACAGCAATATTAATTTTAATTAGGTCTACTTAATAATTTCTTATTTTTTCAAATATATTTTTTTATATTTTGGATTTTTTTTTATTTTTTTTTTTTTAATTTTGTAAGTGTCTCAATAATGGATGTCTGATTAACATATTAATTAATGATAGGTCTATTTGTAATTTTTGTACTAATTATGTGGTTAAAATAATTATAACTCAATGATTATTATTATTTTTTTTAAATTTTATTTTTTCTTGCAGACTGATACTGCATCGGTTCTCCATGAAGCAATTGAATACATCAAGTTTCTCCATGAACAAATCGGTGTATGTTCTCAATCTAACATCACTTGATCCTATTTATTATTATTATTATTATTATTATTATTATTATTATTATTATTATTATTATTATTATTATTATTATTCAGAACTATGTTTAATTTACATTTTTAATTTGTCATTTAATTGCTCTCAGGTACTAAGCACACCATATTTAAAAAATGGATCCCCTCAACTGAAATATCAACAGGTAGGACCTAATTAATTAATTAATTATCCTTAACTTAATTTCAATTTCAAATTGTTTCTGTTTATCCATACTATAATTTGCATTTTAGTACATATAAATAAATACTTACACTATTTATCATCCATGAAGCATTTTAGTACATATAAATAAATAACATTTTATAGTATAAAAACATATATATTTGTTAAAAATGTGTAACTTGTCAAACAAGAAGAAAATCATAAAATTGAGGAAAAAATGTTGACAAAAAACCTTTTATATATACTTATTATTAAAAATATATTTATTTTTAACTACTTATTAAGTCATTGAAAAAATTAAACTGATATATCATTAAGTTTTGTTTATTTTGCAGGCTGAAGACAAAATAAAAGATGCAAAAGAGCAAATTGAAGACCTAAAAAGCAGAGGTCTTTGCCTTGTACCAATATCAACTACATTCCCAGTAGCTACTGAAACTAACACTGATCTTTTCTGGACACCAACTTTTGGAGGGTGTTTTAGGTAAATCAAAAAATTGATCGAGGTAAATTTGAGTGGAATTTCGAGTTTGTATTAAAATAACATTTAAAATAAAATAATTAAAGTTGTTGTGATGTAAAAGTTCAAGAGAGGTAATTGGAAGAGACGAATAGTTAAAATTATGTGACTGAATGAATAGTGAGTTAAATTTAACGTGATGTATAAAAATGATTGATTGATATTATTTAATTATATTAATAAGAGTAAATGTAACCAAATGTATCTAATTCAAAGGGGCTTCTTTCTATCTGTCGTCAGTGTTAGGTCGACCTAACCATTAGACCGACATACTATCTTCAAGAATATACATATTTTCATTACAAAATATATCATATTTAAAATAAAAATATGTAGGTGGTAATTGGAATTTCACAACAGTGAGTATTAAACATTTCACAAATTTCAAAAAAAAAATAAAAAATAAAAATAAATAAATAAATAAAAGGGGAATTACAACTCAGGGAATTTAGGTTTAAAACTCTAATGCGCTTTACCAACTTAGCTTGGGATATCGAATACAAATAACCTTAAGCCCATAACACCAATTCATTGAGCCCAATGTAATGATTCCCCCAATGGCCCAATTGTTAAACAGATGTCAAAACTTTAGAAAGTCCATTCTCTAAAAGTAAAAGATGAAAGTAGTCAATTTTGATTAAGTTCCTGACCCTAACCACAACTAGAGTGCAACCATCTAGTAGGGGTGTAAACGAGCTGAGCCGAGCTCAAACTGCTCGTGCTCGAACTCGAGCCCTTAACGAGCTTATAATTGAGCTCGAGCTCGTCTCGTTTACCGTTATTAAAGAGCCGTGCTCGAGCCTTAACGAGACAAAATCAATCTTTAACGAGCCGAATTATAGAAAAGTACATAAAAATAATTTTTTCGAACCTAGTCAAGTTGGCTCGTTAACTGAACGAGCTTTAAATGAGTTTGAGCTTGGTTCTTTGATCCGGGTTCACGAATGACTCGTTTAATTTAACAACTCCAACTATTGGATAAACACACATACACATACCCGCAGTGTTGTATGTCGATCGATCGATTAAAAGTCTGGATCTAGTGGTTGTGAAGTAGTTTTGTGTAAGGTGAAACTATCCACAACTGCAGTGCAGTCATCAATTATTTCACTATTTGATAAAGACACACATGCGCATACCCGCACGATTGTATGTTGATCGAACGATTAAAAATCCTGGAATTGTACTGTAGTTGTTTAATTATGTGTAGGGTGAATCTAACCTTATCGAAATGCAATATTAAATAATTGCAGTTTCATGGATATGAATACCAGCTGAAAAGGTTTTCCTGTTTTGCAACAGAGATAACAAAATACATGTTCAAGATTCCTTCAAGAAGGCTCCTGCATTGCAAATGCACCTCCCGATGACAAAACATGCATAAAAAAACACAGGCATTGGCCATCTTGATCCGAAGGCCAATAAGATCACGACACATCAGCACATGGTGACCCGAAAAACACGAACAACAGTAACCAACTAAATTGTGCAAGCAAAATTAGGGGCCATCCACGATTTTCGGAAAGAACATTGAGCAGAAAACTTCCGGAATAAACAGGATCTAGTGAGCTGATTGAGCTCCACTACTAAAACCATCCAAAGTCCATCACATGAACAAAGGAAAAAAAGGAATAAACAGTCTTAGAGCACAAGATATCATGCAAAAACTGATTTCGGATTTCCTGAGCTTTGTGGACAGCAATTCTATTACTTTGTTCCAGCACAATAATACGAAAAAAAAAAACACTACTTGAAAACATATACCTATGTGTATTGGCTATTTGTTTGTTCACAGATTGTGAGAGAGCTAGCACAGTTGATATTTCCCGTCAAAAATTGTCTACGTCTACTTTGCCTTGATTATTAATATTTTATTTTGAGGAAAATTTGTTTTTGAGTTGCCAGCCACAAGAAATTGTAGCAGTAGAACTAAACCAGGTATCGGTATATGTTAAGAATGCCATCCCCATTTAGAAGGATACATCAAGATTTCTCTTTGGCCCTTAAAAAAGTTTCGACAGTGCAAGCAAATTTGTTCAACTTTCAAGTAGCCGAACCCAAAAGTTTGCCAAAATATTTAGCTCGAGATACTAGAAAATTTAGGCTTAGAGGCACAGTTATCTTCCCCAACTCAACTTCATATCAAAAACAAACTACAGGACAAAGCTATATTCTTGCCTTGATTCATTCACATAAAAAGCTTCAAAAGTCGGATCATAAGTTTCATCAACAAAGAGAGTGAAACACCTCTTTAATCCCCCCAAAACAAAATTAAAGAACATCTTGAATTAAGCTGTTACATATTAGAAAAAGGAACTTTGTATATCCATCGGTCTATTTCAGCAGTATCTAAAGCCTACTGCATAGTTCAAAACGTACCACAACTTTTCTCCATCGCGAAAAAAAAAACCCCGCTTGCGTATGAGCCTCCATTCAACTTCACATCCACCTCTGCATATTACATTTGTAAATCAACCAGCAGCAACTTAGCAAGTGCATAAGGAACAAACCAAACATAATCAAGAAGCAGCATATATTTACGAGCACCTTCAAACAAACTACCGTGTGGGTTCATCTACAGTGCCATGTTCGCCTCTGCGAATATTCTTTTTTTTTTCATATTCAGTCGTGCAAATTCCCCAAAATTGAGAATATAGAAAATAACTAAAGCATGCAAGGCCAAAAAACCTCAGCTAGATTAAGGATAGCAAAAGGCAGCAAAAACAATAAGAACAGAATGAATGAGGCATACCAGGACATCATAACTCGATACGAATCAGCTGCAACCCCAACCAAATACATCCCAGGAAATACATTCTGTCAAAAACAAAGCAAATATAAAACGCCCATCAAAATCTCAATCAAACATAACCCTGATTTTATCAACTCTTAACTCGAACTTAATTAAATCACTACATTCAGCAACACCAGCAGTACACACATACACACACACAAACACACATAGAGATTGATTTCAGGTTTACATACATCTAGCTGCTTCTGAACGTTCCTAGGCCATTTTCTTGGCCTCCGGGAAGGTCTTCCGCCGGTAAACGCGTAAACATCCTCCTCGATTTCTTCCTTGGACAGTGAAATCCAGATTTTCCTCTTTCCCTCCCTCTCCCCACCGCCGTTGTGAGCCCCCTCCGCCATGCCCCTCAGCCTCTGCGACTTTATCCCGCTACAGTTCCCGCCGCTGTTTTTACCGTCGTTTTTCTCGGCACAGAACGTTTCCTTTCTAGACGAGGCGACCGCCCTGGCCACCTCCTTCCTCGGCCGCAGGTTCCATGGCTTTGCCTCCTCGTCCTCGTCCCCCTCCACCGCCGCCTCGGGAGCTAAAACCTTGTCTTTCGGAGGCGAATCGGCCGCTGGATCCTGAACGGGGTCCTCAGGTTGGGCCTCGTGGTCGGAGTCGGGGTCGGGACGGCCGCGGCGGCCCTGATCGTCAGGGGAATCGCGGCGGCGGGAGCGGTGGGGGTGGAGGGCGGAGCCAGCTGCGACGGAGGACGATTTCTTGTGGGCCCATTTCAGTTGGGACAGAGGGAAGTTATGCAATGGCTGCGATTTCACCGGCGGCGCTGCCATCGGTAAACCACCACCACCTCGAACACTAAAAGTACCCCCTTTTTTTTCTGGGCTTCCTTTGAACTCCCCCCCTTCTTGCTTCCGGTGAGAATTGCGAAGAGCTTTAAGAGATAGTACGGTTATGGCGGTGGATGAGTAATGAAACAGAGGAGACGAAGTAGAGAAAGAGAAAAATCAGAGAGGGACTCAAAGGTAGAGGGCACCGCACTATGTTTGTGGTCTGTGTATGTAAATATGCGTTCAACATGGTATTCGTCCTTTTAAAGGCGTGTTTGGCTTAGGGTGAAAAACTTGATAATGGGAATTAGAAAGTCCATTTCTCATAGAAGGGTTAGCAAAATCAAAGATAAATCGAATCGAGCCGAAACGTGCAATTCAGTACGTGGTTCGATATATTGGTACATCAAGTTTTTTGTTTGATTTTTTCCTACACCACGTTGTGGTGTGTGGTTATTAATTCTCACAAAATTGAGGTTCTTTTTTCAGTTCGGTGCAGTTTTACACCGAACCATTATTAAAAATAAACATAAATGTATAAAAAAAATTGAGTCAACTGAGGCGAACCGTGCATTTCGATGCATTTTTCAGTTCGGTAATTTTATTGTAGGACATTTTTAGTTCGATTTTGGTTCTTTTGTTTTCTATTTTATGTATTGGTTTGGTTATTTTGTTTATATAAATTCGTTCTTTTTTTTTTTCTCTAATCATTTATGTAGAAAATATATTTAATATATGACTGATTTAAGAAGCTTTGACTAACCGATTTTTTTTTCTACATCAACTCAACCTTGATCCAACTCAAATATCTTCAATATTATTAATACAATTATAAATTATTAAACAATTGTGCTCACACATCACACCACCAATTATAATACATTGTTCATTCACTCGTATATTTTAACTGTCTATCATTTCTAATAACTACTATTTTACTTTTACATCACAACAATTTAATCATCACATTTCACATATTATTTAAACACATATTTAAAACCCTTCTCAATCATCCAATCAATCATTTGTATTGAAAGGTACTTCAATCTAACCAATAAATTCAATAAAAATCGATTTTATTTATATTCAATTGCACGTAATAAGTCTTCGACCCGAGAATAATTAAAATTCGGCCCGATTTTTATCCTTGTAGTAGCTTTTTTTCAATACTTTTTAACTAAATAAATAGCTTTTGGTTTTGTGTTTAATACATTCAAGAATGGGATATAGGCAAATGACCAAAAATCAGTACTATTAAGTTTTTTCATGTTCTTTATGTGGCCTAAAATTATAATTATCTGTACATAGCTTTGATTGGAAATAAAAAAAGATAATGAATGGGCCAGGTCGGGCCGAGTAATTGCGCACCCAAACCTTACTTGCAGCCTCAACTTGGCCTGCAACCCGCGACGAGCTAAGGGCCAAAGGTGGACCATGGCTTGGCCCATCCTTGTGCCAGACCGACTCGCGTATGGTCCATTTTTTATTTTTTTCAAATATGCAATAATCCATTTACAATATGGGTGGGTCTGTTTGAGTCGAATCGAGTTTGACTCATTTGGACCTGCACAGGCCGGGTCGAGGAGGGGCAGATTCAACCAAATGGTCACAGTTATATTCAAAGAATGTGAAAAAAAAAGAGAAAATTACCTGGTAGACGAGCCCCTTAAAGTTTTCTTCCTTATTAACGAATAAAAAAACTTAATACCAAATTTGACTTTTTCTTCATCATAAAACGAGCCTAACTTTCCTTGATGTCCACTTTGACAATTTTTTTAGACTAAGAGCTCCTTTTTTTCTCCGCAGATCGAAGAGCAAAAGAGCACAACACATCATCATCACCCCCGACAATCCGCCTTGAGGTCCGATGTGATGATGCATCCTCTCCCTCCTTCGACTTCACCACGCACTGCCGGGAGATCTGCATCCTCAGCATCACCAGAACTGTCGCAAATGTCACTTGCTATTCGAGATTCTCTCCCTCTCCGACTTCTTTCTCCCGCCGCCTGCCGCCCGCCCCCCGCCGCCTTGACGCTTGGAATATAACTCGTCGAGGGACAAGGCGTGTAGTCGGAAAAGTGTAGTAAATTCTCCACTTACTGATTTAGGGTTTCATTAATTTTGATTGGTTTTTTGGTTGGGGATCTAATTGATTGGCATTTGAATTTCAAATATTTGAGTTGTTGGATTTTATTTAGATTTTTGCTTAATTTTCCTGTATTTTGGAAATGTCTTTGAATTTTTCGCCTATGAATGATAATTCTCGTCAGAACCCGGTGCCAATGAATTCATTGTGGAAAATTGGTGACATAATTTCAGCGACTCAAAACAAGAGCTTCTTGGACACTGAGCACATCAGCAAGAATTCGCCTTGATTTGCGGTAAAGCTGAAAAAAAAATTGAAAATAAACTGAAAATAAACTGAAAATAAACTGAAAACATTCTTGTATAATAACCTGGAAATAAACTAAAAACTAGTATTCAACCTGTGCATTTGCACAAATATATAAATAAAATATTATGAGTTATTTGTATACATAAAATGATTAATAATTTTTGTTAAATTTACAATTAAAGGAGCTGAAATATTTAAATTTTTTAAATTGCGTTTATCATATTAGATATAATGTATATTTTGGTATGTATCTTTTTTTGTGAATTACATATTATTTATTTAGGAATTTCAAAAATGTTTTTTATTTTCCGAAAGAAGTTAATTTAAATGTAACCACAACAATAACATCTACTCACATTAAATAGTCAACACATTATATGGTCAACTGCAAGTAATTAGAAAATTTTAAATGATTTTTGTAATTTTAAAGTAATTAGTGTATTGATTACCTAATAATTAAATGAGATGTTAAATGAATAAAAAGTAGCGGTTTTTGGAGAGAAAAAATTATATTGCCACCTAGGTATAATTTAATAGGTTTTATTAAATGCTCATTAGCCAGTAATTATATATATATAGATAAACCTTATATAATAAACTGGAAATATTATTGGATTTATTTTTTTTTTGTATAATAAACTAAAAATAAACCTCTTATATATTAAATTTGTTTTTTCTTGTATAATAAACTGAAAATAAACTTTATATGAATTTAAATTTATAGTCTGTATTGCTGTAAATTGTAATGGTTTATAAACCTATAATAAATTTACAATAATCTAGGATATATATTATGGTATAAAAAATTGGTTCATAAACTTAAAATAAAATTTATATAAATTTAAATTTGGCTTGTTCATAAACTCAAAAGAAATTTAAAATAAACTATATATAAATTTAAATTTGATAGGTAATTATTTGGTGCACTTATTCGAGAGAGAAAACGAGTTAGGAGCATGCATTGGTCATTAACAACGTCTGCTTCTTCGTTTGGAATTAATTAAGTTTGAAGACATAGAAATGAAAATAACTTTTTCAATTCGTAAAGACTATCTCGTCTTCGTGTCAAAAAAAAAAAAAAAAAAAAAAAAAAAAAAAAAAAAAAAAAACGAAGATGCTACATCTAAGTTGGACTTCCAATGTGTTGTATATGTGTGGGCTTTTTTGGTAAATGTATGTGAAAACTATGAATAACCATAGTTTACTGGGCTGGTCCTTCGATATTGCTAATGGGCTTTTTCATGTAGTGCAACACCAATCCAGTAGCTAATAGGGAACACGCCGCCTTTCATGGACCACATGTGAAATGTAAAATATTAATCAAAAGGTCCAATTACAACAGGGCTTTACTCACAAATTGCTAATCAAGATTCCCAACAACATTATATGCCTTTTTTATTTAACAAAAAAAAAAAAAAAATACAAAATTGAGATTAGATACATATGTCATTTCGAAAAAAATATGACTAAAGATAAAGGAGTCTAAATAGAAATATTAATTTTTTTCCGCCAAATATTATTACTAAATAAGTTACAAATTAAATTATCATTACTAGTAATCCCCGTGCGATGCACGAGAAAATTATTATTTATGTGCTTTTTCGAAGGTAATTTGTATATAGCCATAATAAAATTGAAAATACATGGCTACTACTACTACTACTATTAACAATAATACTAATAATAATAATAATTATAACAATAATAATAATAATTATAATAATAATAATATTCAACTACAATTACGTTTGTTTAATTGGATATAAAATAAAAGAAATGCTATAGGTTCATAATATTGTACATACAAGTGTAAATAACACTCATATTGAGTGAGACCCACCAAAAATAAAAAATCAAGTGGACCTCATTCCATATGAGTACTATGTACACCTATATAAACATTTATTATATGCTTGTAGCATTTTCTATAAAATATATCAAGTACTGGACTAATTAAACAAACATTAGGCCATAAGTCCGGATCTTCAGGGTTTTCATTTCATTTTTTTCTCTCCTTCCCTGACCAATTCTCTATATCGTGTCGGTCGTCTCTTTATTTTTTTAAAATTTTTTTACCTGCAGAAAATGAATGTTTCTAAACAAATCGATCACATATATTGTGATTCGTACATTTATATTTAGATTAATTTAATAAGAATTTGAACAAATTGTGTTTTGATTATAAGATAAGTCCAAATGATTTGAAAAATAATTAATTAGTTAAGTCGTTAAGATTTTTATCCTTGTAGAAAGATGACCAATTAGTACACATGTGTCATAATTAAACGTCATTTTAAGTATTTTGAATAATTGTGATTTGATGATAAGATAAGTTAAAATGATTTAGATAATTAACTAATTGATTGAGTTGTTTAGATTTTATATCGTGTTTTAACTTGCCCATTACACGTGTTTCCTCATTAACTCAATTCCTGTTAGTACTATAGCATGATAAACTATATTATTATATTATTTAATGTCAATTATTAAGGACTCTTATACTAATTATGTTGTTTAAACTTGCTTCAATTATGATAACCGAGGTAATATACACGTCTTGTTTAAATTATGATAATATAAGTGTACTTGAATTGTATTATAAATTATT